AGTTAATGCATAGGAATGTCCAAACGAACCCCGAAAAATCCCAAAAATTGACACAACACTCCTGTTGTTCTATGTTGACATGAGAAATTTTTTGAAAGCAATAAGAGGCAATGGATATCGTTTCGTCCCTAAAGGTGGGGCGCTCCCTACCGAAACCATCAGGCTTGTTGTGAGAAACTCTGGTTTGTGAGAAGCATATCCCCAAGCCTGCCCCAAATGGGACAAAAAATTTACCACGACATTTTGATGCCGCTCCATGATAGCATGCCAAGTTTCATGAATTTCACACGAGCTTTGGATTTACTAGAATTTAAAAACCAGGTATCTCAATGTTTGCGTCCGAGTAACCGTGGCAAGGTGTTTGACATTCATTCCCATTTCTTGCATGGGACATAAGCATGCAACCAAGGACACATATTTGAATTTTCAACCAATTTATATGCATTAGAGCATGTGCATGTAGTTCAAATTTGAATTATGAACATAAAGCATTGAAAACTCAGTTAATGCATAAAAATGTCCAAATGAACCCCAAAAAATCCCAAAAATTGACAAAACACTCATGTTGTTCTATGTTGACACGAGAAAAAAGATTCAAAGCAATAAGACGCAATGGATATCATTTCGTCCCCAATGGTGGGACGTTCCCTATCGAAACCATCAGGCTTGTTGTGGGAAGCTCTACCTTGTGAGAAATATATCCCCAAACCTGCCCCAAATGGGACAAAAAATTTACCACGGCATGCTGATGCCACTCCATGATAGCATGCCAAGTTTCATGAATTTCAGACGAGTTTTGGATTTACTAGAATTTCAAAACCAGGTATCTCAATGTTTGCCGCCGAGTAACCGTGGCAGGGTGTTTGACATTCATTCTCATTTCTAGCATGGGACCTAAGCATGCAACCAAGGACATATATTTGAATTTTCAACCAATTTATATGCATTAGAGCATGTGCATGTAGTTCAAATTGAATTATGCATATGAATGCATTGAAAACTCAGTTAATCCCAATCCTTTTACGACACACATATAGTTGCATCTTCACTGCAGATAAAAGGTATAGCAATTCAAACACCGTCCGTTGCCGTTGTGACCCCATTATGTAATTCAAATCAAGATGAAAAATCAAGTAGATCGCACACAGTTTATTATCATCAACTGTGTGAGATGCAACACAAAATATCCTGGAGCACCGCCGGTGTATAGTACGCCTATGGCTTACTCGAGAAGGTGAGTCGGCTACAGTCCACAGCCGGCGTCTCAAGCACACTAGCTCGCTCTCCAAATATCATTTCACTGTTTAATCATCGCCGGTGAAAGATGGGCACGTGGACCTGCGTCGTGAGGGCAACTTCGATGGCCCACTCTGGCGAGAGCGCGGCCGCAGCCGCCATGCGCGTGTTAACAAGGTGCATGAGCGCGGCCGCAATCTGCGACCGGGAGGCCATGGCAGCCCAAACGGCCATTGTTGCTTCTCAGGTGGCGGCGGCAATATCTGGCTCGGGGATAACAACTGGCGAGAGCGGCACATCGGTTGTCCGTTCCACAGCGGTGGCCTTAGCCCTGATGGAGGCCGTCCACGACCATGTCGAGGCCGCCCACGCCCAGCTTCTGGCGGTCACCTCACAAATCGAAAGAAACTTCTCCAACAACGGTCGGCAACCCACGGCTAAAGAGCTGGCAATTGCTGAGAGCGTTCGAGCAGCCGTCCGTTCCTCCACCGCATACCTTGCGACAACGGAGCCCGTCCAAGGCCAGATCGCGGCCGCCCACGTCCAGCTCGTGGTGGCCTTTTCCAAAGAGATGGCGGACGCGGATGGCTAGATGCTTGCCGAGTATGGTGCGATGGATGCTATGGAGCCCCTTCCCGAGGAGACCGTCGGGCGCAAGCTGGACATGAAGGCGGCGGCGGAGATCGACGAGCACCAGCCGTAGTAGTACTCATTGTTTTGTTTAATTAAGAGCGCTAGTCTTTAATTTGTTAGAGTAATGTTTAGGTCAGCTAGTTCTGTTTAATTGCTGAACTTGCTCGATTAAGAAGTGTAGGTGTGCTGTAGTCTCCTTTGTGTATCCAAATTATGCAATGATGTGGATGACCAATGTTACCATGGAAATCCGAACCAAAATTTTTGACGTTCAAACTCATCACACACAGGTTAAGTTATCTGAATCGTTTGTGATGTTCACATATCGTACACAGTTCTGAATAAGGGACCGTGTCTGATGACACTTTGCGCGCCAGTTTTTTCGCTGAAGCGATTCCAAATTTTGGCTTCCGCGGAAATATCTACCTTCCTGCCCCCTCCCCCTTACCAAAATCCACATTCCCCCATTTCCGCCTTCCTTTCCAAGTTGAAACCTTCACTCCTTGCTTGCAGCGCCGTCTCCTCGCCGGCGACCCTCCTTCACACTGCTCGGCCTCGCCTATCCAGGCAGGTAATCCACACCCGACCCCCATCCTCCTCCGCCTTGAGCCGCTCCTTGAGCCAGGCTGAGGTGGAGAAGGCCGCGGTGAGGGTGCCGATGAGAGGGTTGCTCGGCGGCGTCGGATAGCACGAGGAGGACGACAGTGGTCTGGCAGGCCATCTTCCCAAGCCAGATCTAGATGTAGTAGGGAGAGGTGAAGGGGTGGACATCGTGCCGGCGCCAGCTGCAAGCGGTGCCACCGAGACGACCAACGGAGGAGGTGCGACGAGGGTGTGCCTTTGGCTAGGCTGGAAGACCCGAGAGATAAGGTGCTCGGAGGAGGGAGAGATTGGCGGAAGATTAAGGAGGTGCTTTAAGAACCGTCACATGCAAGCTCAGGATTATTTGCATGTAACCAAACAGCCCAACACCAAAAAGATGTTGCATACAACATGCCTAGTTGCGATTTTATGGGCAACCAAACGGAGAGCAGCGAAGTAGCGGACGAGCTCGCTTGCTCCCGCTTCGTGTACGAATAGAATAAGGACGCGTCTCAGCGTGTATTGAATGTGATTGTGTGGGGCAGTAGGAAGGAATGTAGCGCTGAACAGTGCAATACGGAGAGCCGGCCGTTCGATTTGACAATGTCGTGACGGCAGGACGTACATCTGTTCCAATGGTACATGACGCATCTACCGGCCCGTAACTTATCGCAGCGCTCGGGTCTATCACAGAAACGGCGAGTCCATGTGTAGTTCCTGCCGCCACGTATTGCACATGCACTACTGATGGCCTCACGTATGCGTTTGCTCCGTTTGACCACTCTGAAAATGACTCTTATATTGGGAGTTAACCTGGCTAAGCCTGAACTTTTCTCTTTTAGACAGGATGAACTAGAAAACAGACCTTCATTAATATTACCGAAGTACGCATACAGAATACACCATAACAAATTCTCAAAAAAAGAAATACACCACATAACAGTTAACTTGATGGCGCCAAAAGTACGTCATTTGCAGATTCCGACACTCCAAATTTGTCCTTCTTTTGTAATTATAGCAAAATTGTCCGTGCGTTGCAATGGGAAAAGAAAAATCATAATATCCAATGGCCATGATTATATTTTGCTTCACCACCGAGATACACTATCACTCTCATTTTTGTAAAATCGTGAAATTTTTTTGAAAATCATGAACATTTTTTAGAACTCATGAACATCTCCGAAATCGTGAACATATTTTAAGATTTTCAAACATTTTCTAAAATCATAAACATTTTTTGAATTTGATGGTTCCACTCTTCCTTTTGCCATCAAAGTCAAAAGTTGGGCCACCAATCAGTATGGAAGAGAGTGAAAAATGCTTAGACAATCTAGACCTGGACGGATGTGCGACCACTCTCGGTTGTGATTTGTATTGTGTCGTAACAACAAAAACCTACAATTCATTCATGTCGTTCGAAGCAACTTCTATGGAAGCAAATTGTCTTTTCTTCTGAAGCAAGTTCTAATTTATTAATGTTTGGTGGAAATAAATTTTAATTTTGTTGGATGCACGCACTCGAAACAATCCTTTGGTTGCATGGAACATATTTTGAAACTGAAGTTTTTGGAACTTCAGGGACAGTCAAAAACAAAAAATAAACCAAACTAAAGTTTTTGCAAGGATCTCCACAATTGAAAACAGCGTACGAAGCAAGCAAAAATAATCTTCACGACTGAAAACATTTTAGGAGGCAAAGAAAATTTTAGGAAGAAAACAATCCCGGTTCATACCAAATTTTTATAAGAAGCAACAATACCGGTTCGTACCAAGCAAAATATATTTTTGGAAACCAACGTTCTTGTTTAGTAAAATACAGCGTTGGAAGCAAACAAGGAAAAAATTCCACACGACTGAAAACTTGATAGGAGGCGAAGAAAATTTTAGGAAGCAAATCTTTTTGGGAAGCAACGATGTTGATTTGGAACCATTGACCCTCACGATTGGAAACAAATAAAATGGCTTAATTAATCATTCCTAGATTTGAGAAGAAGTTGGTAGAAAAAATAGGAAAGAAATTAATTGTAGTTAATGCCAAATCCCACCATTGGTACATGTCTGTCTGTATGCACCGTATCTACGTTGGCTCTTCCGTCCAGCTTATGCATTAAATGATCGGCGTACGCACCCCTGAAATACCGCGGCCATCCCGCATCCTGTCAAGAGTGGACGCCTGGCGATAACGTGAGCAGGCGAGCACGAGCACGTCATTGAATTTTCGCAACCAAACGCGCCTATAGTGGCTTGGCATAGTGGTGGAGCTAGCGAATTTTATTTTTCACTAGTCGTTATGTCTCCAGTTGTCATCAACTGAATTCATTTTACTGAACTGTAACCCTTCTTTAAGAAATTTTCATATTAATAAAAAGAAAATAGAAATTTTCGCAAAAAGAAATCTTTAAGAAAAAAAAAACCCAGATACTACGCTGTAACTCCTGGTCGAACCCAACCGAGTAGAAAGAAGGCTGAAGACGGCTCTGGTGGAAGAGCCCAACCTCTGCTCCGACTCTTCCCCCAATCCCCACCCAAAACCCTCGCTTCCGCCGTCCATGGCGCCGCTGATCGACGACGTCACCGCCGAGATCCTCCTCCGCCTCCCGCCGGACGAGCCGGAGCACCTCTTCCGCGCCGCCCTCGTCTGCAAGCCCTGGCCCCGCATCCTCTGCGACCCTGGCTTCCTCCGCCGCTACCGCGCCTTCCACGGCGCCCCTCCCCTCCTCGGCCTCCTCCACAGGCTCAGGGTGATCGACGGGGACGCGCCCGCCCGCTTCGCCTCCACCACGTCGGCGCCGGACTTCCCCCACCCGAGCTCCGACGGCCGCCGCACGCGCCCCCTCGACTGCCGCCACGGCCGCGTCCTCGTCCGCATGCTGGAGCACGAGGACATGGACTACCTGTCTAGGACCCCGTCACCGGAGACCGACACGCCATCCCCGCGCCGGACATCGAGTGGCTCATCGAGTCCGCGGCGGTGCTCTGCGCCGCCGACGGCTGCGACCACCTCGACTGCCACGGCGGCCCGTTCAGGGTGCTCTTCGTCGCCACCCATGACTACAAGGACACCATATGCGCGAGTGTCTACTCGTCGGAGACGGGGGCTTGGAGCGAGCCGGTGTGCCTCGACAACAGTTGTGCATGCTTTGCAAAGCACATGCGAGAGGGAGAAGTATATAGACGCTACTACACACCCTATCTCCACCCTAAGCGAGGCACCCTTGTCGGAGATGCAGTCTACTTCACGGTTCGGCTGGGTAACGCAATCATCAAGTATGACTTGGGCAAGAACAGCATATCCATGATTGACCCGCCGCCGCACACCATGTACTACATTGCCCTCATGGCCATGGAGGAGAAACATTCACTTGGCTTTGCCTACATTATGGATTCCAGCCTCGATATCTGGTCAAGGAAGGTGGATAGGGAAGGACCTGCTGAATGGGTACAATACAGGGTCATCGAACTGGAGAAAACGATACCTGTTGCCAAACAAGATGAGAAGCCAATTGTTGTTGGGTCTGCAGAGGGTGTGGGTGTCATCTTCGTATGCACAGGTGCTGGCTTATTTATGATCAAGCTCAGCTCTGGGCAGGTTAAGAAGGTTGATGAGCCTGGGGTCTACTTTAGCGTCCTACCCTACTTGAGCTTCTACACTCCAGGTATGATACTGGCCCTTGCTTATCTGTTGTCATGCATTTCCTTTACAGCTTCTGGATGCTTGCTTAGTTCGTTGGTTCTGGTTCATTAACAATTATCCATACAATTTTTTGTATGCTAGTGAAAGCTGAATATGTGGCATGGAAAAGTGGAATTTACTTTTATGTTTCATGTTTTAGTTGTTGAGGGCCATGACATGGATCTGTTGTATTGCTAAATGTGCACGCAAACTTGGTGGTCTTGTATTATTCTGTAACCTTGCTTCAGATTTTCCTTTTGTAAAAAAAGACACTTCTCTTTCTAGCAAATGGCGGTAGCTCACGTATCAGGCTCTTGTAACCTTCGTAATTAGTACTAGTACATACCCCTCACCAAAGTGGAATGCTAAGCTTAACTTTTGGTTATTACTTCTGTGCACGGTGTCTTTTTAGATCATGGCAGATTGTTATCACTATGACTAACTGGCCTTCGAGTCGTTGATTGGTCAAGTAGATGATGAAGCATTTACTTGTTGCTAGGGTAAATTGGAGATTACCAAACAATCAAATAGACTTGTGGATGTAACATTGTCCTGTTGCCTGGCCTTAGATTTTCTTCAACTGAAATCCATCCATGGAACGTAATATTGTCCTGTTGCCCGGCCTTAGATTTTCTTCAAAAACTGTATGTTATTTTCTGGCATAGCTAAAGGTCATATCTGAAATCCATCCATGGAATCTTTTGAACTAAGAAAAGGTACATGGCACAGCATATTATAAAGCCTTAAGTTGGTCATGAGTTTTGTGCTTGGTATCTTTACAGATCATGGCAGAATGTTGTCAATCGCTGGCGAGGACAAACTGATCTCTTAAGTGTGCCCCGCGCATTAGTCGTACATTGCATAGTGGACAAAATCCATCATCTGAAGTCTGTTGATGTTGCGTTTTCGAAGATACTAACTACTATCAAGCTGGTTGTCGAGCAGTTTAAGCATGGCGGTTGCAAGTCCATTGCGGTTGTTCTTGTTCAATTCATCCTGATCATGTGGCCAGAACAGGTTATTTCAGTTTAGTACACTACTATACAGAAAATGGGTTTCCCCCCGCTTTGTATTACAAAGCACCAATATTTTGTTGAGCAGTTTAAGCAGGGTGGTTGCAATTCAATTGCGGTTGTTTTTGTTCAATTCATCCTGATCATGTGTCCAGAAAAGATTATTTCAGTTTAGTATGTTGGCCTCTTATCTGTTGAGCAGCTTAAGTAGGAATGGTCCAAGAATGGGAGTGTTATGCTGTCAATGTTGACCTGGAAGTCATGTTTCTTCCCCTTTTTACTGTTATACGAAACTGAGTTGCCTAATCATTGCTTCCTTTACCTTCCGTTTTTTAGGAGGAGAAATACAGAATACTTTGTGATGTTTTGTGAATTATATACTGATTAGTGATTACAGAGCACCATGTAATTTGAGCCATTCCGGGCAAATACTTTCGGCCACAATATCACTGCTAGTACTTGAACCATTCCAGGCGAACAGTAGAAACCTGACAAATATTTTCCTTTCCTTCCCTTCCAAGGTTTTTTTTGTTTGTTTGTACTTTTGCTGGTTGCTACATTGATCGATTTTTCCTGTGTGTCCATCAAGGGTCAAATTAGAGGATGATTTATTTGTTGTTCTATCAATGCATATGTTTGATAACTAACAAAGTCCCTGCATTTGGCTTTAAACTTCTATTACTAATGTGCGGGCTTGCAATTTCTTTCACATTATAGCTCATCCAGGATCGCTGTAATACCTAATGACTGTTTGCGGTTGTTATGGTCTAACTGTGCTAATCTTAAGTTGTTTTGTTAAATATTTTCTCAGCATATCTTTGTTTGTCAGTTTAACTCAGATAACCTCCAATATAATTTGTCTGAACCAAATTATGATTTTCATTTTGCTTTTCTGGGTTGGCATTCGGCCATTCTCCGCGTACTGTCACTCTGTTCGAATGTTGGTTTTTTTTTTATGAAAACAGACCAGGACGGGGCCCTGTTCTTCTACAAAACGTTGGCTGTTGGTATGATTTGTGTACATTCTATTTTCTTCGATTTTGGTCATTATAGATGTTTAATAGTTTTTGAGCCGAATGCATGATTAAAATGATATAAGACTGTAGCCAGAAACATAAGAATGCTAAAAATAGGAATTGGCGGTGTGCCGCTACAGATTAATTGGTCTCCTTTCGTTGTTCTCTCTCTATATATAATGTTGGTTCTGTCCAATAATGCAGAGTTGATTAAGTTTTTTGCTTTTCACGCAATTTCTGCAATGTTGAAGCTATACTGTCTCAATCAAACAAAAACTGTGAGATGAGCTTAAAAGTTTTTGCATGAATGGAGATTACAAATCAGTCTGGCTGATTGCATTGGTTGCTCTGCAGGTAGCTAGAGTTAGGTTTTCGTTGTCTGAGATGCAGAAATGGATTATTTGCTGTAGGTTCTTCCATTCTATATACCTCACGCCCTTGTCAAAAGTGGTGTGAACTTGTAGCAAATATGGTGTGAACTTGGGATTAATCTTATCAGCTGTGAACTGCAGTCTGCTATCTGATTTGTGTAGGCAATATTCCAACTGGCAGGAAGGGAAATGAACTTGATCGGGCGCTGGCCCTGTGGCTTACTATTGCACTTCATTTGCTTGCATTGATGTACCCCTGTGCTTCAATGTGCTGGGGACGTAGTGTCTTTTTGTTTATGATGACTGTTCTAGAGCAGCCACGTAATTTAGATGTCAGTGCTTTTTAGTATATAACAAATCTCACGTAATTTCGCCTGCTCGTTCTACTTAAGGATGACAATTTTACCCATGCGCATGGATACCCATGTGTACCTGATCCGCATGGGTAGGGTATGAGCACATTTTTATGCACATGGGTAGTACCCAAACCCTACCTGATTAGTAATGGGTAGGGCACGGGTACAATTATATGCCCATGGGTTCGCCCAAACCCGACCCAATGATCATATAGGTGGTTAATATGAGTCATAAACCTATGCTATCGAGTCTTTGCATGTAAATTCTAAAGAACTTGACATCTATGTCATAGGTCGCTTCCATTGTATGCTCACACCCCAACAATACCTTGCCCCAATCCTCCTCACAATCATCATTTCAACAACCATGTAAACCTCTCGGAGACCAGTGTACCGATCATTGATGTGTTAATATGCCCAGTGGGTACCCATCAGGCATGGATACCCATAGGGTATGGGTATGGGCATGGGCATAGATTTATGCGTGATGGGTAGGGTATGGGTATGGTTTTATGCCCATGAATAACATGAGTATGCGTATGGGATTATTGTACGTGCACCATACCCTGCCCATTGCTATCCTTAGTTTACTTGCTAAAAAAAGGCTACCAGGTGAAAAGTCTTGCAAATTAATTATTTGTCGAAAACCCAGCCACTGGGGGCATGTCGCTGCCCCTCGTCGGGCTCGTCATTTGAGTGTTGTCTCTCTAGGTGAATACCCGAGTTTGGCTTTGCTGGAGTGAGTGTTAGCGGCGTGCTCGTTGCTTTGCTTTCCCCTATAGGTATTGCCTGAGGTTTGGTCTTCTGTCGGATGGTAGCGACAAACCAGAGCAACGACTCCGAAAATTGTCTTCATGTTCGGGGTGTAGCTTTAGGAAGCCACCATTTTTTGCATGTTTTACTTAGCGGCGAGAAAACTAATAGTGAGCGGACTATATCTGAACGGTTTTAAGTGTACGAATTTCAGAGGTGGGAGATCAGACTCAAATGCGTCTGGCGAACTACTGCTATTTATATACAAGGATTAGGATGTACTAGTAGAATGCTCATGCGTTGCCACGGGCTTTTGAAATATCTTGCTAGAGTTATATATAAACATAATGCATGTGAAATTTTATACATATAAGAAAGATAGCACATGCTCAGCCGGGTAATATTTGAAATCCACATCACTTGTAATGTAAGTTGATAAAAACGGTAATTTGACTATGCATACATAGAGAGCGATGATCCAACTAATAAGTTGTTACAAATTAAGATCTACTTAATGCTCTTAAGCTATATTGCCTGTTGAAGAACTCTTTCTCTAAAATGAGCCAAAACCTTTGCCTTTTTAATAAACCGGAAAAGACTATTGGCCAGTTAATAATAATAAGAAATGTGTAGCATATTTCAATTGTTATGACAAGATAAGGGTGAGAACTTTTATATATAGAAAAAAGTGAACCCTAGTTTACAGAAGGGATTCCAATGATTACTATTTTTCACAACTAGAAAAGAATGATCTCTAGTTGTTTACAAGATTAAGCATTTCAGTGACTACCCTTTATCTTATCGCATAAAAAAAGATGTACTACCGCTTTATCCATCACAAAAAGATTGTCCAAATGCATTTCAACAATTTCTGGCCTCAAAATTCCTGGCATGAAGAACATATATCAAAACTGAAATGGGTTTCAGATTTATTCAAGAGTGAA